CCCCCCCAAACAAACAAAACAAACCAAACCCATTGCACCAGTGCGCGTGAGAGACAAAACGCAGGACTTATATTGTGGTTCACAAACTCCAGCATTTTCACTTTACAACATCTCTTTATTGCTTGCTTCTTGTTTCGCCCAGTTTCTGAACGTTGAGAACGCGACGAAGTTAAAAACAGCAAAACTTGATAGGTAGGAATTTCTTCTCCTTTTTCCTTTCCTTTTTTTCTGCCCTTCCGAGAAGAGTTGGAATTTTGTACGCTTTGCCCTGTTGGGCGAGACCATGAGGTGTTAAAAATGATTATATAGCTGTGTTGTGGAGGATCTTTACTCAAAACCCATGTGCATTCTTCAAATCTCCGGTGAAATCTCCTCAAATTTGTCAGCGTATTTCACCAGCGTCTTTACTGTACTGTTTAGATCCTTCACCTTGCCCGAAAAGTACGTGAGTTGATTTCCCATGTGGGGGAATTACTTTATCGGCCATCTCTGTCTTTTTAAGGTGATGTATCCCCCACTGCCCAAGTTGGCCTTGACAAGCAGGCTCGAAGCGACTTGTCCCTTAGTTGATCTAAATAATGTACTGTTGGTTGATTGTGTTCGCTTGGACCAAGTAGCCCTACCGCAGCGCTAGCCGGGCGGTGGCAAACTGCTACCACAGAATTACAAAGTTTCATCTGCTCAGTACCTAGTTTTGAGAAATGTGTCGTCAAAGATTTTGAGTTTCACAACACGTCAAGCTTTTTCGAATGCAATTCTTTCAATATCCTGATAACGCTTTTGAGTAATCGCACGATTTTGACAGAGCAGATAGAACATTTAGTTTCTGACCTCACGGGCTCAAAACGGACAGAAATGTTAGGTAGAACTTTGTAATTCTGAGGTAGAGAAAAGACACGGCAAACTAAGGCTTGTCATTCAGCTGCGAGAAAAACAAGAGACTTTGTCATATTAAATAGCCCAAATATGAACATCCCTTGATGAGGCGAAGGCCCTCTAAGGAGAATACTGTTCCGAACCTTCAAACGTCTTTCAAGCTTATGTACTTTATCATTGGTCAGTTGAAATTGTTCTATCTTTGACTAGACCAACGTTATTTTACTCTATGAAGTAATGTTTCTTGAACTACTTAGCGAGTCAAAGAACCAGGGGTATGCTGGTTCTCTCCCCCCCTGTGTCCTCGCAGAGGTGAACATAACTGTAACAGAAGACACATACATGTGTAAAACATAAATACAATAGATCTCTCAACTGTATTGTCCCATTCTCCCCCCCCCCACTCTCTCTCTCTCTCTCTCTCTCTCTCTCTCTCTCTCTCTCTCTCTCTCTCTCTCTCTCTCCCCCCCCCCTCTCTCTTTCCCTTCTCTCTGATTAATTCCTATAGTGTCCCCCCTACCCCGTTTCGTCATCTCTTCTACTGCATATCTTGAGTCTTGATTCCTTCTTACCCGCCCCCTTCTCTCTCCCCCCACCTCTCTCCCTCTTTCTCTCATAGTGACCAAGAATTACCAATCGTTGTCGACCGGTGTTCCGAAAATTTTGTCACCAACTATCATTTTCAAATGATTCACATTATTTCTGTGCAGAATATGTAATCAAGTCTGAAATACCTAGTTCAAGTTATATTGGAATAACAACGTATTCTATTGACACGATGTTACTATATAAAATGTATGCAGCTAATAGGGACTGGCATAAGTACTGTTAAGAACAATTTGTATAAGGAGGAAGAAAAACATTGTCCTCAAAATTATGATAAATTACAATAATTGTAATACAGATGATGCTGAAAACAACAATAAGATAAGGCATAATGACAACGATGAATGTTGGCTTGGTTTCCGAACATTTATCATACTGATGTGGGATGTGGCGGAAATAGTACTATTGCTACTGTTGCGTTTGACTATTGTTGTCTCATCAGAAATTATAAAAAGAGGAAAAGAGGCCGACACAATGTTTTAAAAGTCATTAAAAAATCTTCTGAATACAAATGAAAAATACAACTGGGGAACATTTTATCTACCCACATCAAAATCTCTAGACCTATGGATAAAAAGTCTTCCTGGAGTACGGAATTGATTTTTATGTGTGGGAGATATTAAAATTGATCTCTTTAAAATATTCAAATTAAACGTGTTTCTTCAGTTTTGGGCAGGGAACGATTCAATCATTTCATATGTCGCTGCCGGTCAATTTTAACAGGTCTTTTCTTTTTCGACTCTGAACTTGAATAGTGCCTTCTTTGTGTACTACTTGAGGTCCGGCGTTTTTCAGCTCGTCGAAAAACATTTAGAATTTTCACCCCTCCTTTGGCAGGTCAGGGTTAAACAAAATCCAACGACCCCCCTCCCCCCCCTTTTCTTTCCTCAAACCTAAACAAGTACCAAACAAACCTCAAACAAAAAAAAAAAATAAAAAAAAAAAAAAATAAAAATAAAACCCCAACCAACCACCCCCCCCCATCTCCTATAATTTTCAAGAAAAAAACCCAAAACTCATCCCTTGACAGTTGCGCGAAATGGAGATCGAACCAGGCAATCTGGCTCTAAAAACAAGCATTTTACATCCAGTCACACAATCGAAGAATCGTATTCCTCATAAAATGATTTTTTAAAACCCCAATGTACAAGTTGTCTTCAGATCAGACATTTCATTGAACCAAGGGCTTCCTGGGAATTTGCGTATTGAATCAGAGCCGGAGTCCCCAGAGCACAGACCATGACAAGGGGGCTCTCGTGGCCTAGAGGTTAAGGTGTTGGCCTCTCATTCAAAGGTCCCGGGTTCGAATCCGGGTAGCGACCGAAAAATTTTCTTCTCTAAAATTGTCTCCTTTCACCTCCTTTCCTGCTCTCTAGCAATGTTCTGTTGTCTGCTTTCATTTCCACTTTCTGCCCCTACCCCCTCACCTCCTTTGCCCCCTCCTCTGGGCTCCTGACTCTTTCTGCAGCCTTTCTACTGTTACTCCTTGGCTCCTCCTTACTGCTGTCTTTCTGCCACTCCCCTGATCTTCTGGTAGGAAAGATCTACACCCAGCCTTCTCAGACAAGGGCCAAAAATCTCGGAGGGCCCGTGTGCAAGTTGCGCACGTTAAAGATCCCACGGTGGTCTAAAATCGATAAGAGTAGGCTTCGGCCGCCACCCGGGCAAAAATCAAAATTTCCTACCAACTGAAAATATTAGGAGTGTCCCGCGCGCTCATATGACCTATGCAGTTGCGAGCGCCTTAAAACACTTTACAAAAAAAAAAGACCATGACAAGACAGACAGTGGATAAAAATGTTCAAAATATGACATAACAAGGCCAAAGTGTCCTACCAAATTATACCACAGATTGTTGTCGATGAAACAGTAGTTACATGTACAAGTCTGATCGCCATTTATAGTCGACTGCCCCCCAAAAAAACTCGATATATTTACACAGATACGCATACACAGACACACACTCAGGCAAGTACTTACGCCTAAGCACAAGCAATCAAACTCACAAACACACCCTCAGGCGGACAAATTATACAATCCTTCTAGGGCATCATAATTCAGTACAATCTCTGGAAAGAGGAAGTATAAATGGATCAGCGTAGGACACGTTGTCCGACATTATGTTAAACTTGGTTGCAAGATAACCTTGTTCCGCAGGCTATCTTGCAACAAAGTGTCTGACATTTAAAAACTTATAGCAATGAAAACAATGTGACATTCACGAGTTTCTCAAGGTTCTATTGCTAACCAAACAGTGTTTATTGGTCAACTGTGAAAAAGACCTTCCTTGGAATTCACATTTTGATATGTCAGCATTTTCACTGCAAACACCCGCTCCGGCGACAAATGTCATCACAATGCACAATGGAAGCATTAGACACGATGTGTATAAACAAATATGAATTCGGAGCGGACTGCCTATCAGCTGTGAAATATTTTTCAAAACGACGCACTCAACCTGTAAAACAGTCAGAAAAACAAAATAATAGATCTTCCATATGATATAATGTCCCAAAACCACTTGGTGGTAGGAATACATACCTTCCGAGAACATAAATTTGCCAAATCGTTAGAAATTGTCTTGTAAGTCGTAACAATTCTCAAAGCGTTTAGCTCAGTCTATAAATTATCGAGGGCATATCAACATTTGCTTGTAGTCGTCTTCATACATACATACATACATATACAAACAAACAAACACACACACACACAAACACACACACACACACACTAACACACACACACACACACACACACACACAATTGCATACACATACACAAGACATCGCAGATGAAAAAAAACAAACAACAACAGAGTTGGCGTTTTTTTTGTCCTGAATGAAAATTCACTGTCTCAAAAGATCTAAGTCCAAGCACTTTCTCCATGAATCATCAACTAATACTACCAGAAAACCGACTACAAGCAAATGATGGTATTCCTTGTACCCCCAGCGAATGCCAGTGACCTCAGAACGATGACAATGAAGATAATCCTGGTTTGAATCACAAACGGGATTTTCTTGACCTTGCGTTGTTCAAAGAATCACAGTCTGTACATTTGCTTGATTCGTTCATATCGGATATGACGACTAAGTTCAAGAGTGTCGCCTTTTTAAATAACCCAACAATGTCTCCAGGTGTGGTACGCGTCATGTATTGCCACAACATTCTGAATCGGTGGTGGTCTGAAGCAGTCTGCTAGGTCGGGCCAATTTGTTTGACTGTGTTGCTTAGGACCACGACTCACCAAAAGAAATAGAGAACGGCCCGAGACCATAAGAAATGGGCCAGAGAGGAAAAACCTTCTGAAAGAGAGAGAGAGAGCAAGAGGAGATATGACATTATGAGGGTGATTGATAGGAAGAACGTTAGTATTTGGCTGCAACCCCCAAAAAATTCAGCACGGGAGTATCTGTTCTGATTTACTGTCGTTCTGCCTCGCACACACTAGTTTACTGTCGTTCCTATTCTCTCTCTCTCTCTCTCTCTCTCTCTCTCTCTCTCTCTCTCTCTCTCTCTCTCTCTCTCTCTTTCTCTCTCTCTCTCTCTCTCTCTCTTTTTTTTTCTCTCTCTCTCTCTCTTTTTCTCTCTCTCTCTTTTCTCTCTTTCTGCCTCCCCCCCTCTCTCTCCCCCTCTTATCTCTCACGTTCTTTACCACCTCCTTCCACGACATAATATCTCTTCTATATTTCAGCTTCGCTCGTATACTTTTATTCTTTCCTTCTTTTTCTCTTCCATCTTTCTCCCTCCATGTTTCTCTTTGCTCCTTTCTCGCTTCTCCATTTTAATCCGCATCCCATGTCGCCTCTTCTCTCTAGTCTCTCTCTATCTCTGAGACTCCCCACATCTTTTTCTGCTCAGAGCAAAACACCTCTGCTCACTCGCGGCGAACAGACAAGCAGTGGGGTTAGTTAAATCTCAGTCGGAGAAGGCGACTGCTTCCTCGCGCTGAGCGGGATGTACGGGTACTTTCTCTCACTGAGCTCTATGGAATTGTAGAGCTTCTTCCCCGAACCAGGGGACGGCCTGGGGCTCTCGTACATCAGGTTCCCATTCTCGCTCTCGTGGCTGTCCTGGCCGTGGTGGACAAAGTTGACGCTGGTCGCCGTCGTCTGGTTCCGGGAGGCCTCAGTGGGAAGCCGCATTAAGCGAAATCTTGTGCAGGTACGCTTGACATGCGTTATCACCTGTGGGCGCAGATCAATAGCGACTGAGTACAGGAGGAACAGCAAACACATTATAAAACTAACCACAGCAACAAAAACAATGAAGATGATAATGGTACTGAAAAAGTAAATAATAATAAAAATAATGATAATAACGATAATAATGATGATGATGATTATAATAATAATAATAATAATAATAATAATAATAATAATAATAATAATAATAATAATAATAATAAAAAATAAAATAACAATAACAATACTAATGAAAAATATGATTTTAAAAATAACAACAATAACAATAATGTGATGATGGTAGTGGTACTAGTGTACTACTACTACTACTACTACTACTACTACTACTACTACTACTACTACTACTACTACTACTACTACTACTACTACTACTACTACTACTACTACTACTACTACTACTACTACTACTACTACTTCTGCTGCTGCTGCTACTACTCCTCCTCCTACTTCTCCTCCTCCTCCTCCTCCTACTACTACCACAATTACTATTACATAATACTACTCCTGCTGCTGTGGCTGCTGCTGTTTCTGCTGTCGCTATTGCTGCTACTGTTGCGCATGCATGCAAGTTTGTAGGTGTGCAGCCTGCTATCGTGTGTGCGACAGGAAAAGTTAAAGACAGAAAAAGAGGGCAGGAAAGAGAAAAAAAGAGAAGGATGGAGGAGCGAGAGAGAGAGAGAGAGAGATAGATAGATAGATAAATAGATAGATAGATAGATAGATAGATAGATAGATAAATAGATAGATAGATAGATAGATAGATAGAGAGAGAGAGAGAGAGAGAGAGAGAGACAGACAGACAGAGAGAGAGAGAGAGAAAGAGAGAAAGAGAGAGAGAGTGGGAGAGAGGGAGAGAGAGAGAGAGAGAGAGAGAGAGAGAGAGAGAGAGAGAGAGAGAGAGAGAGGAGGGGGGGAGGGGGAGGGAGGGAGGGTGCAGAAGAAAGTTTTTGTGTTGCATGGTTGCTAGTTTATAAGATAGCAGCCAGGAACATTTCTAAATATTCGTGTGAATTCCAATTCCATACTCGAAGACATTTTGTTCTAAAATCATTTATGTAATATTGATAAAAGAATAAAGGTTATAACCAAACTGACCTGAAACATTAAACAAGCGAAAAAGTTTACAAAATGATAGCAATTACTCAGCTAAAAAATTCAAATATTTCAACCTCTGGAAAGGGTAATATTGAAAAAAACAATAGGTTTTTCATATATTTGATGACTGACTGATGATGAAACTTTGAAGAAAGAACACAACTATAATTCCTGAAATATTTCAATCAAAAATACTTAAAAAGAATGGGCCGATTACTTTTTGACAACATAGACAAGCCAAAAAAAAACAATGTCAAACAATAATCAGCAAGCCGGCATGCAACACAGCAAGGGCAGGCTGTAACAAGGAGATAAAAAAAGAAAAGCATCAACTAAGTAGGCCCCCAAGTAATACGAGCCGTGGATATGCATTGACGTTATCTTAACAAATGTGGTGTGACATACTGACATTGAGCACGCTATCAGGTCAGTATGCTTCAAGTACTGGTACGATTGTAGTGCTTGAGGTGCTGGTTAATATCATGCACAGAGGATTCTCTATAATAGTTACTTTGAGGTTCTTTCATTGTTTTCCTCCTGCTAGGCTTAGTATTACCTGAAACAGTCATTAACTTTAAAAGCCACTATGTCTACTGACGAAGCGCAGCATTATTATTTGATTTTTGTTTCATCATTTATCATATATATCCGATTACCACAACTGTATTGTCACATATCAAATCTTCATTTTTTTAACATAATGGTAGAAAATAATACATGCTTGAAACTTGAAAACTGCCCCTTTGACAAAGACAATGTTAACTTATAAAAACAGAGAACGACTTGTGATTTTTGAGAGTTAAGAAGGAGTTCCCGTCTCTGAGACAGCTGTTGGCCCGCCAGAAGTAAGACCTCTCCACCACATTGCGAATAAGTTCGCAAGAAGCCCACCTTTTTTTATATCTCATCATCGGTCTCGGTAAGACAGAGATACTGTACTAACTAGCACCCGCCTCCATCGCTCCTTCATTTGCAATCTCCATTGAGTATGCGTGGTTGAAGACAGTGGCCGACTTGGTAGCACCCTAAAAAACGATGATAGCGTAGATAAGGAGCTCAGTGCCAGGATCTGCAAGGCTAGCCAAGTTCTCGGACACCTCGAGCCCGCGTCTTAAACCAACGCAACATCCAGATTTCCATGTAACTTGGGAGTTCAGCACCTTCGCTCTCACCAACTCCCTCTAAGAATCTTAGACGTTGACATTTTACAAGAGACACCTTAAAGCAGCTGGAGACATTCCACATGAGGAACCTGCTGTTGATCATAATCATTTACCGGTAAAACCAAGTCGCAAACAAGCTTAGAGGTCCTAGACAGAGCCGAAGCGACTTGTATTGAGGCCATGATACTTAAAACCCAGATCCAATGGTTTGGTCACATGATTCGGGGATTGATAACCACAGGCTGCTCAAACGGCTCATGTTCAGCGAACTGTGTTCTGGGATGCGATTCAGACGACGTAAGAGATTCAAAAACTGAGCGAAGTCTAACACTTCAAACTAAGCGCGACGGACAGGCCAGACTCCCGCGCCCTTACTGCCCAGACACGAGACAACTTTGAGAAGGAGAGACAGGCTTATATAAAGTTGAAGCCCGCACACAAAGAAAGGCGTCAACTGCTGAGCCTGACCTTCAGTAGTTTTAGTCTTATAATTGTAGGCTGTGGACAGGTTACATCTTCCTTGCTCCTTTGATCGGATACAATGACAAGGTCTCTTGGTATTTTCATCTTAAGCTCGGCTTTTGTCTTTTCTGGGTACAGTTTCTTAAAAAATCCAAATATGTTCGGATGAGGACTGTTGAACAAGGCTCCAAAATTGCTAACAGGAGTTGGCGGTGCCTCATTCGCGTTGATTGCTCCACAGTGATGCTAGAAATGGAGCATAATCGGAGATGTAGTTTTCGAAAACATTACCTTTGAAAGTACGATATCTTTTCAGCCTGTGGCCTGTATGAGAAAAAGGAAAATCGAGGCAGTCTCTTATTTCAGCTTCTGTTACAACAGGCAAATGAAAAAAGAGCTTGAGATTAAATTCAGGGTGGTTTGACAGAGCTCATGTTGTAGAAAAATCAACACGAAACGCTGAAAGGCAACATGCTCCATCTAGCTTTATGTGATACGATAAGCGATTACACCAGGATTACCTGAAACAAAGAAACATAATAAAATGCCAGTCGCTGTTCCTTGTTCTTCCAAAGTCGCTACGCGCCGATCCAATAATGATGATGTCAGTCTCGGTGCAACCGACGCCTCTTGACTCTTACCAGCAAATGATGCTGTGACTAGAAGTTAAGCTAACAACCAATGTGCACTCAGCTTAGATGGTGGAATTGAGTTCTGGTGGATTTCTCAGGTAAAGAAGTAGCGCCTTGGATTAGAAATATAAATATTATTTTTAGTAAATTGAAGACATACAAGGAGTCTGTTGATGTCTGTCGTGCACAGTTCACAAAGACCAGAGCAGATATTCTTATATTACTCGCAGACGTGGCATACATTTTTACCTAAAAAATGATGTGAAGTCCAGGACGAACACGGTAGAGATTGATTTGGGAACTTCGTACTTTACATAATGGGCAGATAGCTGAAACTATACCACCCACCTCAGAAAGAGATGGTCTCGCTTATCATGAGAAGTGTATTGATGAGAAGGAAAGAATGATCTATAGTGCTGAAGCCAATCAATATCGAGGGGGCAAGAAACAACACGAGAAAGATACCGCTTCTCCGGGATTTCACAATATTTTCTAGAGAACACACCATTACTGTAGGCGTAGCACCTAATTTCATTGAATGTTCCTGACTCTGTCATATAGTTTATGTGGACTCCTGTCTCTATTGAAGTATACCGTGTTGCAAAAGTTCTGCCACACCCACCTTAAAAGTACAATAACTCATTTAGTATTCAACATAGCCAAGAGAAATTTGATACACGCGATCTTTATTCATTTTCTGCCAACATGACATGAAAAGAATTGACAATGTCTTTCTTTATTCAAGGGGGTAAATTTTATTCACACTGACCCTTGCAAAATCAAAATCAAGGTTTGCTCAGTATCGCGTGTGGCCTCTTTCAGCTTGAATTACTGGTACCAAACGCCTGTTCATTGATTTAATTAATGCCCATATAGTTGTCTGAAGAATCCCCTGCCATTCCATGTGCAGTGCAGCCTTCAGTTTCTGACGAGTTTATAGGGAGTGCGGCCCGTTTCTAATCTTTCAGTCAAGGTCATCTTACGGATGTTCTGTGGGGTTAAGGTTTGTTGATCTTCAAGCTAGTCCAGAACAATGATTTGATGACTTTGGAAAGAGTTTTCACTGATCGTGGCCATTTGTGGTCGGGCGTCGTCTTGTTAGCACATTCTATCTCCCGTGCCATGTAGGGCAGTCACCGTGACGAAGAATTTCGTCACAATAGCATCGCCATTTGAGGTTTCTTTAAAAAGTAAACACATGTGTACGATAAAGAGCAGAGATTCCACCCCATACCATCACAGTTCAGCCTCCGATTCGGGCCACTTGGGGGTCGTTGGATTTGTGAAAACTCTACCCTCTTCTTTTAAACACATTTTCTCTTACATCAATGCAACGACTTAAAATCCGTAACCACTGCTGAATAGAACACTTTACCAACGTCTTTAGTTTCATTGCCAATGTTACTGTGCCCAAATTAGGCGATTTCTTCGATGAAACAGGGTTAGAATGGACCCACATAGAAGGGCGATAATTACGCAATCCACGACGTCTAATAATGGTGTATTAAGACAGTGCAAAGTACCTGGCAGTCTCTGCACTTAGTTGGAACGGGTTTCGAGCATGGCATTGACAATAACCAAATTTTGACGCCAAGTTGTCAACCTTGGTGGGCCACGTCTAGGCTTGTTT